TGGGTTGGAGGCAAAAACTTGATTTTTTGATGGTTTGGGAAGGCAGAACCCCATTTTTAAAAACTAAAACATGTCCCCCTACCCGGAACCTAAAAAGCACTAAGGGGGGTAAAGTTTTAAAAAGTTGGTTTTTAGCGGGTTTCGGTCTTTTTGGTTGGGGGGGCCCTGGGAGTGGCCCCGAGTGGGTTGGAGGTCAAAAAATTGATTTTTATGATGGTTTTGGGACGGCAAAAAACCCCATTTTTAAAAACTAAAAAATGCCCCACCTACCCAAAAAAACAAAAAAACCATAAGGGGTAAAGATTTTAAGTTGGATTTTAGCTGGATTTCGGTTTTTTTTTGGGAGGGCGGGGCCCCCTGGAGGGGCCCCGAGTGGGTTAGGGGGGTCAAAAATTGTTTTTATGAGGGTTTTGGGAAGGGAACCTTTTTTAAAAAAAAAAAACTTGCCCCCACCCCGGGAAAAACAAAAAAAGCATTTACGGGGGTTAAAAAGTTTTAAAGTTGGATTTAGTGGATTTCGGTCTTTGGGGGATGGGCGTGGCCCCTGGAGTGGCCGAGTGGGTTGAGAGGTCGAAACTTGATTTTTATGATGGTTTGGGACAGGCAGAAACCATTTTTTAAACTAAAACATGTCCCACCTACCCCGGAACATAAAAGCACTACAGGGGTAAAGATTTTAAAGTCTGGATTTTAGCTGGATTTCGGTCATTTTGGGATGGGCGTGGCCCCTGGGAGTGGGTTGAGAGGTCGAAACTTGATTTTTATGATGGTTTGGGACAGGCATGAACCCTTTTTAAACCTAAAACATGTCCCACCTACCCCGGAACATAAAAGCACTACAGGGGTAAAGATTTTAAAGTCTGGATTTAGCTGGATATCGGTCATTTTGGGATGGGCGTGGCCCCTGGGAGTGGCCCGAGTGGGTTGAGAGAGGTCGAAACTTGATTTTTTATGATGGTTTGGGACAGGGCAGAAACCCATTTTTTAAACTAAAACATGTCCCACCTACCCGGAACATAAAAGCACTACAGGGGTAAGATTTTAAAGTCTGGATTTAGCTGGATTTCGGTCATTTTGGATGGGCGTGGCCCCTGGGAGTGGCCCGAGTGGGTTGAGAGGTCGAAACTTGATTTTTATGATGGTTTTGGGACAGGCAGAACCCATTTTTTAAACTAAAACATGTCCCACCTACCCCGGAACATAAAAGCACTACAGGGGTAAAGATTTAAAGTCTGGATTTTAGCTGGATTTCGGTCATTTTGGGATGGGGCGTGGCCCTGGGAGTGGCCCGAGTGGGTTGAGAGGTCGAAACTTGATTTTTATAATGGTTTGGGACAGGCAGAACCCATTTTTAAACTAAAAACATGTCCCACCTTACCCCGGACATAAAAGCACTACAGGGGTAAAGATTTTAAAGTCTGGATTTTAGCTGGATTTCGGTCATTTTGGGATGGGCGTGGCCCCTGGGAGTGGCCCGAGTGGGTTGAGAGGTCGAAACTTGATTTTTATGATGGTTTGGGACAGGCAGAACCCATTTTTAAACTAAAACATGTCCCACCTACCCCGGAACATAAAAGCACTACAGGGGTAAAGATTTTAAAGTCTGGATTTAGCTGGATTTCGGTCATTTTGGGATGGGCGTGGCCCCTGGGAGTGGCCCGAGTGGGTTGAGAGGTCGAAACTTGATTTTTTATGATGGTTTGGGACAGGCAGAACCCATTTTTAAACTAAAACATGTCCCACCTACCCCGGAACATAAAAGCACTACAGGGGTAAAGATTTTAAAGTCTGGATTTTAGCTGGATTTCGGTCATTTTGGGATGGGCGTGGCCCCTGGGAGTGGCCCGAGTGGGTTGAGAGGTCGAAACTTGATTTTTATGATGGTTTGGGACAGGCAGAACCCATTTTTAAACTAAAACATGTCCCACCTACCCCGGAACATAAAAGCACTACAGGGGTAAAGATTTTAAAGTCTGGATTTTAGCTGGATTTCGGTCATTTTGGGATGGGCGTGGCCCCTGGGAGTGGCCCGAGTGGGTTGAGAGGTCGAAACTTGATTTTATGATGGTTTGGGGACAGGCAGAACCCATTTTTAAACTAAAACATGTCCACCTACCCCGGAACATAAAAGCACTACAGGGGTAAAGATTTTAAAGTCTGGATTTTAGCTGGATTTCGGTCATTTGGGATGGGCGTGGCCCCTGGGAGTGGCCCGAGTGGGTTGAGAGGTCGAAACTTGATTTTTATGATGGTTTGGGACAGGGCAGAACCCATTTTTAAACTAAAACATGTCCACCTACCCCGGAACATAAAAGCACTACAGGGTAAAGATTTTTAAAGTCTGGATTTAGCTGGATTTCGGTCATTTTGGGATGGGCGTGGCCCCTGGGAGTGCCCGAGTGGGTTGAGAGGTCGAAACTTGATTTTTATGATGGTTTGGGACAGGCAGAACCCATTTTTAAACTAAAACATGTCCCACCTACCCCGGAACATAAAAGCACTACAGGGGTAAAGATTTTAAAGTCTGGATTTTAGCTGGATTTCGGTCATTTTGGATGGGCGTTGGCCCCTGGGAGTGGCCCGAGTGGGTTGAGAGGTCGAAACTTGATTTTTATGATGGTTTGGGACAGGCAGAACCCATTTTTAAACTAAAACATGTCCCACCTACCCCGGAACATAAAAGCACTACAGGGTAAAGATTTTAAAGTCTGGATTTAGCTGGATTTCGGTCATTTTGGGATGGGCGTGGCCCCTGGGAGTGGCCCGAGTGGGTTGAGAGGTCGAAACTTGATTTTTATGATGGTTTGGGACAGGCAGAACCCATTTATAAAACTAAAACATGTCCCACCTACCCCGGAACATAAAAGCACTACAGGGGTAAAGATTTTTAAGTCTGGATTTTAGCTGGATTTCGGTCATTTTGGGATGGGCGTGGCCCCTGGGAGTGGCCCGAGTGGGTTGAGAGGTCGAAACTTGATTTTTATGATGGTTTGGGACAGGCAGAACCCATTTTTAAACTAAAACATGTCCCACCTACCACGGAACATAAAAGCACTACAGGGGTAAAGATTTTAAAGTCTGGATTTTAGCTGGATTTCGGTCATTTTGGGATGGGCGTGGCCCCTGGGAGTGGCCCGAGTGGGGTTGAGAGGTCGAAACTTGATTTTTATGATGGTTTGGGACAGGCAGAACCCATTTTTAAACTAAAACATGTCCCACCTACCCCGGAACATAAAAGCACTACAGGGGTAAAGATTTTAAAGTCTGGATTTAGCTGGATTTCGGTCATTTTGGGATGGGCGTGGCCCCTGGGAGTGGCCCGAGTGGGTTGAGAGGTCGAAACTTGATTTTTATGATGGTTTGGGACAGGCAGAACCCATTTTTAAACTAAAACATGTCCCACCTACCCCGGAACATAAAAGCACTACAGGGGTAAAGATTTTAAAGTCTGGATTTTAGCTGGATTTCGGTCATTTTGGGATGGGCGTGGCCCCTGGGAGTGGCCCGAGTGGGTTGAGAGGTCGAAACTTGATTTTTATGATGGTTTGGGACAGGCAGAACCCATTTTTAAACTAAAACATGTCCCACCTACCCCGGAACATAAAAGCACTACAGGGGTAAAGATTTAAAGTCTGGATTTTAGCTGGATTTCGGTCATTTTGGGATGGGCGTGGCCCCTGGGAGTGGCCCGAGTGGGTTGAGAGGTCGAAACTTGATTTTTATGATGGTTTGGGACAGGCAGAACCCATTTTTAAACTAAAACATGTCCCACCTACCCCGGAACATAAAAGCACTACAGGGGTAAAGATTTTAAAGTCTGGATTTTAGCTGGATTTCGGTCATTTTGGGATGGGCGTGGCCCCTGGGAGTGGCCCGAGTGGGTTGAGAGGTCGAAACTTGATTTTTATGATGGTTTGGGACAGGCAGAACCCATTTTTAAACTAAAACATGTCCCACCTACCCCGGAACATAAAAGCACTACAGGGGTGAAAAGCACTACAAATCCACTACAAAAATCAAGGAAACGTGCTCTCTACTTCGCATGTTTTGTTGTTTTTAGAGTTACCTGAGCAGTAAATCAGGTTACAAATTGCCTTTATCAGTTGAGCTTAAATAATTTATTTATATCTATATTACTATTATACTTATCAAACTACTTCCTTCCTTAACTTAACAAAGTTAAGTAAGGAAGTAGTTTGATAGGTATAGTAGTAGACACGTTCTATATGAGTAATCTATAATGAATCACGTACAAAAGTATTACCGTGTTAACTTGGTCAAACAATATATTTATTGTGAAATGTGTCTTTGAGATGAAATATGAAACTGCAAAAACCGCATCATAAAGTCACACACCATCACTAGGGTCACTACTCTAACGCATCAACATTGACTCACCTCGTAAGGCTGAAGTGAGCTTATCTGTTTATCATCCCCTTCCAGCGACACTATCAGGTAGGAAATAATGTTCAGACTTTAGCTGTCAAGTCTGTATAATATATAAGTTAGTACATGGCAGTAGGCACTATTTGTAGTGTGATTATCACTAATATACCTGCTAAACGATCATGTTCAATCAATATTCTATTTCAAGCATTAACTGATTGATTATTTCAAAAACGATGCCATCGATAAATTTGGTTATTCAAGAATAAGTCAATAAGTAGAGAAACTGTTTAAGAATTGTACTGATAATTTTACATTCACTGCAGATTTATAACAATCAGAAAAAAATAATGAGGTCTGATCGTCATCTTCTTACAGCGTTCGATGTCTGTGTGAAGGTAAAATGGTGATATCCTCTGGATCAGGACAGAGGTTGAGTGTTATCGGGAGTAATTCTTTAGTAGACCAATTTGACTTATGTCCCTTAAGCGCTTTTAACTACCGTTCACCGAACCTTGACTGCGGCTTTGTTAACAAGGTTTGGCCGGTAGAGGGTCCGCAGTAGTCCCATTACCTTAGTATTGCTGTTCCACTACTAAAATCAGAAAAAAAAGAAGAAAATATCGCATTTATATCCCACTTATATCAAAAATAAATATTATAATATGTATGTATTGACAAAACAAAAATAAAACATCAGTTGTAATTTTAAAAATAAATCGTAATCATCTTAAAATCGGCAAACTTAAAATTAAAATCTTAAAATAATTAAAATCCTGTGAATAAAAGAAACCGTTGAGTCGCAATAAATGTTCTTTCGTGGCAGTCATGTCTATTCGGCGTGGAAACCAGATGATAAAATAATATACAGGAAAATATTATCTTCAAAAATAAAAACAGTTTAGACTAAAAGTTAAGTTATCAGATATTTAACTGAAAGTAAGTAGATAAAAAGTAGATTGTTTCCAGTATAGCATTAAGTCACCCATAGGAATTCTTCTTTAAGATGACAGGCCGTAATCATTGTGATTATTTTGCTAGTAATTTACCACTTTTTAAACAATTCCTTCGTCTTACTTCTCACTTCGTTATTGCTCATCCCTTCAATGTTTTCTCCTAAAGGTCGGCTTATCGGGAATATTTCTGCTTTTCTGCTAAGATTCAGCAATTTCATAAACTGTTGTAGTTCATAGTGTGAACTATGAAGAGAGTACAAGACATTAAAAAATCCTGGTTCTTCTACTGGATCTTTCTCCCGGATCCAGGTTGACTGTTTGTAGCTGTACCCCTCCAGCTCGTAAAACAGCCACTTTAGTGAAGGTTTTATTCTTATTGTCCTGTCTGTGCAGTATTTACAGTCAGCCCCATTAGAATTGTGCACGAATGACTTGTGTGGTGTTTCGATCTTTACATCACCGGACAGGAGTTCAACAATACACTGGTGTAGCTTCTTTTTAGGGTCCTTAGGACAGATACCTAATGAGCTGTCAAACTGATCAGCAAGATGTTTCGCCACTTCCTGCCATCCTAAAGCTGAACAGTCTACATGAACATTTTTATAGCTATCGGGTCCCCCTACACCACTCCCCTCACTGTCGAATCCCTCACTGTCGGGTCTATCTTCGCTATTACATTCGTCTTCATCATTGCTGCGTTCTGATGAATCCGAATTTTCAGTTAATGTCGATACCATATCTGCAATTTCCTCCAATATTATTCGTTTACAGGGAAACTTATTTTTATCACCCTTACGCTCGCCCAGAAGATCTAAACAAGTTATGTCCAGGTACAGAATGTCTATATCTGTGGTGTTTTCAAGAAAGCTCTTCATTTCGTTCGTCACCTCAGATCGTTCGTAGCTCTCGAATCTAAAGTCGCCAGTATACAATGCTTTGTAATGCTTGTCCTTGAATAACATCATCACAGCACCTGGTAAGTGATTTGCTCTAGCAAACTCCACTGTTGTATCGGATACCCCATTTTCTCTGTGCCTCAGAGAAAATCTCTCTCCTACAGCCTTGTAGCGGAACTTATTACTGAGAATTTCTCGTTTATACCCTACCCTACTCATTATAAGTTCTCCAGTCTCTTTAGTGCAATAAATCACGGAGTCATTTGACCTGTCCCTCAAAATATCTTGAAACTCTTTTAGTCCTTCAAAGTGATCCGTATGAGCATGGGAAATAAAATAGTTGGCCACTGTGTCTCCATAAAAATCATCTACTTTTAAACCCCCAGGTTTTTCACTGAAGTGCCGTAAATTCCCATCAAATATAGGTGCCATGCTAAAGAAAGGGGGTGTGAATTTTTGAGAGATTATGGGAAAAGCAAATTTTATAATAAACAGTCCTCGATTTAAATATATTTTTCAATATGTGACGCATTACCAAAAATAAATCTTGGGACTCATTTAAAATTGATAACATTTAAATTTAAAGAATGAGCCATGTACAGACCATTAAGGTCTGGGTTTTGGTCGGTTTTGAGATTGAACTGATAACTTTTGGTAAAAATTTTAGTTTTACAATTATATTGTTCATTTATAGGGGAGCCAAGTGGATATTTGTTGATATTTGTAGATTAATGTAGTATGGATAATCCACGAAAAAAGTGGATGACATTCTACAAATTTATACATTTATCTCCAAAAATTCAGTAGAATTTCTGGGCACATATTTGAAATTACATTTTTTGTAGATAAATGTAGATATTTGTAGATTATTGTCAATGGATAATTCTCGAAAATTCTACAAATTCTACAAATTTATACATTTATCTCCAAAAATTCAGTAGAATTTCTGGGCACATATTTGAGATATACATTTTTTGTAGATAAATGTAGATATTTGTAGATTATTGTAATGGATAATTCACGAAAAAAGTGGATGACATTATCCAAATATCTACAAATATCCACTTGGCCCCCCCCCCCCCCCCCCCCCCCCCCATTTATATTATTCATTTAGAAGGGAAATATTTGTTTGGCTTTTCTGTCGTCTTTGCTTTCATTTTGACGATTCTCGACAAAGTTTCATCTCATCAAGATAAAAATGTTCCTTCAACTCGTGCTAGGCTGTTTAAATTTCTCAGGTAGGTTATTTATAGCACTGGCAGCAAATCTGAACTTCTTATCTGACAAGCAAGCAGACGAGAATTTTAACGGAATTGCCGATAAGAGTGTCCCATTACAAGATTTATACGAATTTGTTTGTCTTATCTTTAGATAGTTTTTAAAGCAAAGATGACACACGATTCCTGGTAAAATATGTAAAACATCTTCATATATAATAATGATTTTACAAAATTAAAGTGACAATCTAAAAACAATCTACAGAAACACATAACATTTGATTGTAAAATATTTTAAGTATCACGACATTATTCGTATTATAAGCATGCTGCGGAGATTGGCGGATTCCTAAAATTTGGTAATCTGTTTGGACCCTCGAGCAAATATAATTTAAGTATTTACTCATTATAGTAATATATTTAAGAAATTATTAATGGACCTGCCAGTCATAGAATATTCGAGAATGATCTGGAATGATGAACTAAACTAAACATTGAAGATTGCATGCATGCTATCGTCTTATTTTTAGCGAATAACACGAGCAATTCAATAATCAAATCATCATATTCATGTACGTATTATATTTATATCGAAATTATTATAAACACTAACAATAATATCCTTCGTATCATTACATCATCCAAAAAGATGCAGTTTCTTGGAAATAAATTAGTCGTGTACGGGTATATGGCCCCCAGAATATAGGTCGTTTTTTGAGCACTTAGAAACAGGTGTTAAAACTACTTCTAAGCATGTTTAGGGCTGTAAATATGTACATAATAACCCTTTAAATGTTTCTTGGGTAGTTGAAAATAATTATTAGGTTTTTAAGTGTACTTTTTTTTCACCTGTAAAAATACCATTTTTTAACAGGGCCCCCAGAATATAGGTCCAAACATCTGTTCCTAAGTTGTTCTAAAATTGTCACAGACAGTTATATGCAGTCAGAATATGTTGCTGAGACTGTATTGATGATGCCAATGGCTCCAGATACTAAATTGACATGGTTTAGAGTATACTTAATAGCAAAAAATCAAAAACTACGGCCCCCAGAATATAGGTATGCAAAAATCGTCCTCAAATACTCCACCTTCATACATTTTGATGATGCCATCTCTTCAGCATATGTTCTTTAACTGTTTCTCATCACTACCCCACATTCCTTAATGCTCAGGGTGACAGAGAAAATGCAGAATCTTGGTCGCTATTTTTTTTTTAAAACCTATATTCTGGGGGCCATATACCCGTAATGAGTAAAATCTTTAATTTTACTTGTTAAAAAGCTTTCATGCACTCATTTAGTAGGGATCTAGTAACTAAATACTTAAATAAGATTGAAGGAGTGTCCCTAGATATGATTGAGGGGGGCTGTTTTTATCTGTATCAATACAATGTGCACCTCAATGACTGTAAATCAGACATTTTTGGCCGCCAAATTTTTTTAAAGGCCTAACTCAAAATTCTGTCCCAAAACTTAAGGTCATGAGACAATTCTACGTTGATTCTGAAAATTTCATGTGAAAATATTGAAACCCTATTGAGTTCTATTGTTTTGAGCGAAGTCAGTTTGAGATATGGGCGATTTTGTTCATTTTTTGCGATTATTTGAACACAGAATCCACAGTTAGGTAGATATTGAGCTGATAATCATAGAGAATGTGTAATATATGCTTACCTTCCATATAAAGTTGGTTTCATTCAAAAATATTGATATTTGACCAATTTATGGACCAAAATCGATCAAATTTGGTGCGTATGCCCAAATATGGGCATATGGTTTTTGTTTTTATCCCATAACTCGGCCAATTTTTATCCAATTTTGATAAAACTTGATATGTGGGTTCAGGAGACTAGTAGCTACAAGTAGAGCATCCCAAAGCATGGTTTTGGGCATGTTCAGGGTTTTTGACCAACCTATATTCTGGGGGTCGTATAGACCTATATTCTGGGGGCCCGTAAAATTGTGGTGGCCATAACTTTTTTCGAAATTGTCAGTTTGCAGATGTCTCGATGAAAAGATAGCTTAAAATAATACTTATACTCATACCAGTAGTCTTAATGGCATGTGTTGGACAGATTTTTGTCATGACAATTTTTCACCATATTTACCCCTCTAGAAAATGACAACATCGTTTAAATCTTTCGCTGTCATGACCAAATATACCAAAATACCTCATGTAGGTCCACAATTTTTATCCAGAAACATAAGTTACATGTTTTACTCCAACCTAGCAGTAACAGATCCCATTAGTATCGCTTATCTTGGTTAGAACTGTATCCACTAACATGACCTATATTTTGGGGGCCACCTATATTCTGGGGGCCATATACCCGTACAGATAAAAAACATATGTTAGCAGCCTATAAGAGCTCATAATATCTGAAGTATAAATAATTATTTAATTTCTATTAAACTGATTAATAATTTCTGAAACTGTGCTTAGCTTAGCCGCTCAAATTAGTCACTATACATTGCAATGTACCTACATGGTCAATGGTCATAACCTCAAAACTGAGTAAACTTTACAGTAAATAAAAGAGTGTAAATACTAACATAAGTGATGATGAACTGTAGGTATTGAAGACTGGACTTGATAATGAACTGTAGGTATTGAAGACTGGACTTGATTATGAACTGTAGGTATTGAAGACTGGACTTGATTATGAAATTTGATACAAACTGTGACACTCAAGTTCAGATCAATAGAAACAACTTACATTTATCGTCATGGTAACGTGTGAAACAAGTATTCTTTACTCAGATTTCAGACCTGTAATCTATCCCTCGTGTTTAACAGAGTAACTACTAATAAACATGGTGTACGATTTGTGTGTACACAGTTCACATGTGCAGATGTTTCGTGCTTGCAAATTTTCCAAGCTCAACATTCTCAATGTTGTGGGTCTCATCATTGACTGTAATGTTAAACTCGGAGATGCTGTTGTTGGGTATGTTGAACTTGCGGAGACCTTTGGGGAAGGGATGAGCGGAGAAGGAAGAAAGAACCATGGCACACATCCTGACTGGGGAGCAATGGGTCACAAATAGGACATTAGCCGTCTGTTTCTTCTTGCTCAGCTCCTTGTTGGTTTTGTACATAGTGTCCAGGATGAGGTCCTCTATTCGCAGGAACATATTCTCATACCTCTCCACTCCTCTCGGTTCTATTTCTGTTTTCATATCATCATAGTAAACGTTATCTCGTGAACTGAGGATGTTTCCGGTCGCTTTTCCGTTAGTGAGTGCGTTAGCATTTCCTTTAGCGTGTCCTTTAGTGGGCCCGTTAGCGTGTCCTTTAGTTGGCCCATTAGCGTGTCCTTTAGTGGGCCCGTTGGCGTGTCCGTTATCGAGCCCGTTTGCGTGTCCGTTAGCATTTCCATTAGTGGGCCCGTTTGCGTGTCCGTTAGCATTTCCTTTAGCATGTCCTTTAGTGGGCCCATTAGCGTGTCCGTGGTCACTGCACGAAAGAACGCAAGAAGAGCTGGAGCTAGGAACCAAGTACTGTCCATCAATATCCTGAGTTCCATTGCATAATCTCTGTCTCTCCTCGTGTTTTGCTTTAACGTAGATAGCGTACAATTCTCCGTTATACGGCCCGAAGTTCCTGTCTCGGAGACGACCCTCCATTTCACCAGCCAGACCGAAACACTGGAGCGTTTTAATGGTCCTGCCCAGATCACTGACAAGAACCTTGTCAAAGTGGAGTGCCTGGAGATACCGGCCACAAATCTCACTCTCCCTAATACCTGCTCCAGTCAGGTTTGAGTTGAACTGACCGTTTATTCGGTGCTCCGTGTTGAAGTCTGTCTCCCCATGTCGCACCACTAGCAGCTTTATTTTCATCTTCTGAGAAATAGTAACGAATTAGTTATTGAACTATAATTTGTCAGATCATTTAAAGGATGAGGGGACCTTAGAAAAAGTTTTTTTTCTCGTGCAAATCCTTTTATTACATTAATCGTATAAACCACTTTAGTGAAATCCGCAAAGTTGTATTTCATTCGCGCGCCGAGATATCCAGCCAAAACAATTTGAACCTGTGACGTCAATTATGTGAGTTGCTCTGATCCGCGCATATAGAAATACAGGTAAAATGAGCGTGCGGGCCGACTAAATTACTAATTAAGAATACATTAACAATTTACGATACTAACGAGCCTATAACCAATGGAGAGGAGACTTTTTATGACCGGTTGAAAAAAGAATTATCACCCTACGATAACCATGAGCCGAGATACAACTGAAATAAGATTGAAGTCACACAGAAAGGCATGTAAATTATGTATATTTATAGCTCCCAACGTAACACCTAGCAACTCCCTGTATCGTACCACAGTTGATATATCAACATGTCATATCAACACAACACGGTCCTAATAAAAATGGATCGGGTAGGTATGAAATGCATGTCTTCATCCAGTTGGACAAGCACCAAGCACCAAGCTTTTAAGTTCTAAATCACTATGTGACACTACTTATAACGTAAGCAAGATTTGCAACTATTACACCAAGCAATATTATACGTAACAGACGAACACATCCACATTCGTTACGCTTTACACTCAAGTCACAGCAAACTAAAACGGTAAATTATAAATGAGTGTACAACTAAAGGCCGGTACACGCGCTGTGTCAAACCGCACGTGCGCACTCAGATAGGACTAGAGGCGCCAAGGGCCAGCTAGTAAAATGTCTTCTACTACATCATACATTCAATCTAAACATATATTAAGTGGGTCGGTCAACATATCTTCTATTTCATATGTATTGTGCTCTGCCAATTGCAACACTTGATTTGATTGTGCTCTGCCGATTGCAACACTTGATTTTATATTGTTAATCGCACATTTCATATGAAAATACATTCCTTTATTCTTGTATAACGAAATATGCCGATTTTTAATTGTGTCCATATCGGGTTTCAAACAAGTCAAAACAAAATAGCAGTTTGTGGTTTAGTTAGCGGATGCTACTTATCTTAGCTATTTATAAATAGAAATACCTACTACAACTACAAGTAAGCCTTTCTGAGTTACATTTAACTATTAAAGAGAATTATTCGTAACTTAGACTAATTCAGTGCAACCAAAGATACTGCTCTCGCAAACGCCAAAGGTAACACGACGTAATTAAAACAGAACAGAACCAAGAACAAAATGTTGACACGAGCGAAGTGTGCGCGCACACGTTGGTCTTAACACATAAGTGACGTCACAGCCCAAAATTGCTATCAGCCAATAGGAGCGCGGCGTGATATTGCACGAATTATCGATTTCACAGTCCGGCGTATTTTTTGATTCTACACACTTTCACAGGACTTAAACGCGAATATTTGGAAGTGAATTCTAAGGTCCCCTCATCCTTTAAAGTGAACTTATAAAAATTATCAAAATCAGGCGCACCATAAGCTGATGCCTAATAGTAGAATAATTTTAATATATTAAGAATGATCACGCCAACTGGACAACTATGACACAATAAGCCGTAGGAAAGTTTATAATTTAAATTGATTCTTTTTAGTAGTACACCAGTTTAAAACTACAGGCTTAGCGCAGGTCTACTGAGATAGGTCCCTGGTAACCCTTGCAGTTTTAAGACTGATATACAAAAAGGAATGGCCAGTCGTGTTTACTTCGATGCATTGTACTGTGTAGTGTGTATTATAACTATTAATGTATAGTTTAACATTGTATAGCTCAAATTAATTGTATTGTAATGACAGATGAGGGAGGCCATGTTTAATCGTTATCCTTATATTAATGATCAATGATTTAGTTGGTCAAGAGCCTGCTTAACGAGTTTTGACGGTTGGTCAGTCAAAAACTCCCCTCTCTCACAACCGACCCCTCCCACTACCACCCCTCCCACTACCACCCCGCCCACTACCGCCCCACTACCACCCCTTCCACTACCACCCCTCCCACTACCACCCCTCCCACTACCACCCCTCCCACTACCACCCCTCCCACTACCACCCCTCCCACTACCACCCCTCCCACTACCACCCCGCCCACTACCACCCCTCTCACTGCCACCCCGCCCACTACCACCCCTCTCACTGCCACCCCGCCCACTACCACCCCTCCCACTACCACCCCTCCCACTACCACCCCTCCCACTACCACCCCGCCCACTACCGCCCCACTACCACCCCTCCCACTACCACCCCTCCCACTACCACCCCGCCCACTACCACCCCTCCCACTACCACCCCTCTCACTGCCACCCCGCCCACTACCACCCCTCCCACTACCACCCCTCCCACTACCGCCCCGCCCACTACCACCCCGCCCACTACCACCCCTCCCACTACCACCCCTCCCACTACCACCCCTCCCACTACCACCCCTCCCACTACCACCCCTCCCACTACCACCCCTCCCACTACCATCCCTCCCACTACCACCCCTCCCACTACCACCCCTCCCACTACCACCCCTCCCACTACCACCCCTCCCTGGATTGCTCAATACAACTAGACAATACATTAAAAATGACTCATTTAATTATACTATCTACAATACTACAATACTACAATACACAACGTTACTCATAACACAATGAGGTCATGTTTAAACAGTTCTGTAATGACAATCAGTACAACATTACAAACATACACACTGATCAACACATAATGTTTTACAGGGTGTTTCAAAAGTCTTGTGAGGATGTTCTTTTTCCAGGATAACTTTTAATCCATTTGTCTAAACTTCATTCTGTAAAAAATTATTGGTAGTTCTAAAGTTTAGTGGTGACTTCTCAAGTTGTTACGTTACCATGACCACCATAGCATTCGGTCCCCTCTCAACAGAGGTAAATTTAGGTCAAAAAGAACATCCTCGCAAGACTTGAAACACCCTGTACTATGAAAGTAGGAGGTTTCCTGGCACAGCGCGAACAAAAGGTAACTAAAAGAGTGTCTAATATTGGTGGCTAGCCGAGCTCCAGTCAGTTCAGGAGTATCTGAAAAATGCGGTGAAATGATGTACGCAATTTTGCAAGTTGCTGAGTTGGCTTTCTGCCAAGATGAACTGAATTAAACAGGTTGCGGTAGTAAACAAGCAACAAAAGTTGGCAGGTACATGTAAGATCTGACATGTCCAGTGAAATTGTCGGAGCATTGATCAAGTTTGTGGGGGAAAGTGTTAAAACTGCACGAAGGAAAATTAGATTATTCCTCGCAGAAACTCATTTTCTTCGAAGAGAGTTTTGTTCACTGCAAGTTTCTTCATCTAAATTAAATGATGGGATGATAACGAAGAAAAGTAATGAGTTGTTCTACATTCAGTAGTTTTGTGCCAGGTTTGGCGGATACTTGATTTTACGCCAACTGATAATGTACTTACTGATAAGGTACTTACTGCTTATATTATCTCCATTTATCGGTTCAAAACGCTGCAGGAAAACTAATTAGATATTCAAATAAAGACGACCAACTCTATACTTACTCATACACTGTCATGTAATACTATACAACTCTATAATACTACTCCTAAATATTGTCTATAATTCCCAAACGTGGATGCAGTGTGTTGGTACGATAAAGTAGGAGCTAAAAACAACAGTCAGACCTCTGCAGTATGTGTTTTTCATCGGAAGACATTATGCTAAATTTAATTCTCAAAGTTAAAGCCGGGAAAACGGGTTTAAGTTTGTAAATTAAATCAGCTGAGTGTTTATGAACCACAACTTTGCTATCTATTTGTATATAGAGTAGAATAATTTCGACTAAACCTCAATGTTTCAGACTTGAAGCAAACTGAAAATGATCTACCATCAGATTACAATATGAATTATATTAGAGCATAATTTAGTTCACACTTCAGTATTACAAACCCCGATAACTTATAATGTCTAGATAAGTATTGTGATATCATTTTAAGACACTGTCGCAACTGGGTGACCAGCAACCTAGCCGTGTTAATCAGATAAATAAAAACAATATTAGTGATTAGGCTCCCGTGAACAATTTTACTCAAATCATGGTTTCATCGAATATGCACGCCGAAAGGAAAATTATGTTAAATATTGATCAGTAAGCGTGGGCCACAACTGACTAATATAGCCGAGACTAAAATGATCATAATTTATTTGGCGATGTACCCATCAGGACGGTGCATAAATATTTAATAACTATATGTTTGTGCATAATTACACTATATTCTACAAATACAGTTTTATTTTATTTTGTAGCACCGTTATCTTGAATGAACTTCCTATATTTACTGGGTTTAATACTCCAATATTACCCATTACATGATAGAGGTTCTCCCTGAAAACTGCAAAATTGGCTGTTACGAATTAAAGTAGCTGCTTGGTATTCCTCTTTATGGTACAATCTTTGTTTTGAACAATTTTGAGCAGGTGTTTCTATAAATCTTATTAATCACAAAAGTTCTGAAGTTCAAAGCAGCAGGCAAATGAAGACTTGTCAGAAAAAACAACCTCTCTTTGTTTGCCAATCTAAACTTAATGAGCCGATATAACATTTAACAGAATCGTTACTGTAAAGATTTCATGGATATTAAACAGGACCGCCAAACAAATAACAATTGCTGAGACCAAGGGTCAAGACATGAACTATTTATTGTTGCAAGAAGAGCAATTATAACAAATGCGCTTATTGAAACACAGGTCAACCAATTCATTGCAAATAAAGAGCAACTGCGTGGAATAATTCCTGGGAGTAGCAAAGCTGGCTCGTGTTTTGATGGTAATAACACAAATTTGAGCAATTATACATCTGTCTGAGGGTAAACTTAAACGAAGCAGTGGGCACGTACGAAACTAAATTGAAAATCAGTTTACGATTAGATCTGAAAACAACAGTTACATAAGGAACAGGC